ATGGCCAGGAGCAGGAGGGGACGGAAGCAGTGCTGTCAGCAAAGGGCATTTAATAATATAGGGGATAATAATTGTGATAAAATAGATGAGGGAACTCCATCAGAGAGTTTTCATCATCATAGAATCACAGTGGTTTGTGTTGGGAGGGACCTTAAAGCCCATCCAGCTCCATTCCCCTGCCATGGCAGAGACACCTTCCACCAGCCCAGGTTGCTCCAAGCCCCGTCCAACCTGGCCTTGGACACTTCCAGGGATCCAGGGGCAGCCACAGCTTCTCTGGGCACCCTGTGCCAGGGCCTCCCCACCCTCACAAGGTTTCTGGGTTAAGTTGGGAAAGCACAGCCTGGTGCTGTGGACACTGGAGCCCTGCAGCTCCCGAGACCCTGAGGGTCCCCTCACTTCATCCCTGCCGAGCCCAGGGCTCAGTTTTGCAGCCAAACACCTCTCACAGCTGTGACCATCCAGCCTCCAGTGCTGGGCTGGGCTGGACACACCACGCTGGAAGGATGTGACACATGGGGGCTGTGGTGAGCAAAATCCTCCAGTTTGGGCTTTGCTGGGGTCTGTGTTTGCTTTGGAGCACTGGGATGTTGGAGCTTCACTCCCGCAGCTGCCCGTGCTCCAGAAGGGAGCTGCTTTCTGCAGAGATGAGCTCCCATCTCCCCTAGGGATGCACCTCGGTGTTGCAGTGGGTCTCCCCCTCTTCCACAGGCACATCTGCGTGGTCAGATCCTGGAGGTGTCCCCACAGGGTCGCTCACACAGCCACCATTGAGCTCTGCAGTGTCAGACAGGACAATCCCACTCCAAACTCCCACCCACCCACCTTCCCCAGCCCTTGGGCAGCTCCTCTCCCAGCCACCCTCGGCGTGTGGGAGCTCAGGGGTCCCCTGAAACGATGATCTGGGGGGATACAGACAGGAGGAGGAGGGGTTAGCTGCAAACATTTATTGAGCAGACAACACATCTCACATGAGGGGAGAACATTTCGGACACAAAGCTGCTGAACCTGCACAGACACCGGGTCACTCCAACTCCCCTGGGAGCTGTTTGTGAGGAGCAGCCCCCATGTGTGGCTGTGGCTGTGCTGGAGGGCATGGGAAATCCCCAGGGAGTGGGAAATCCCAAACATCCCCTCTGCCCATGGGCACTGGGAATGGGCTGTGGGA